GCGTGCAGAGAAATCTTTACCCTGTACGCCGTAGAAGATCGGCTGGGTTTCGTGAAAAATGGTAGAGGAATTGTCGAAAGAAAATTCATCGATCTATCATTTGAGACTAAAAACCATTGATTCCTTCAAAGGTTGACCGAGATATTGCTCGCCGAAAACAGGCCATTTAACATGTAAACCCTATGGGCTGGTAGGAAATGTACGCCGTGGAGCAGCAGTGCTACCAACTAACTTCGGCGGGGGCCGAGGCCACATACCTATTTGACCTGACTTCACTTGTCAGAGGTAAAAACCCAGATTCATGAACTGTTGACACTTATAATCCCATTCATTACACCAAATTTCAGACTTATAGGAGATAATCTATAGGAATGACAAGATTGCAGTTTTTAGAGGCATTAAAATTGAACTTGACATGACAATGTGACCTGACCTCAGGTGACCTGTGCTTGATTTTTATGCACGATGCGAAATTGATGTAGGTACAATAAGATACCTATACCGCTGCTTTCGCGGCGCTGTGCTCCGAGGTTTTTCTCCGGGCACACGAAAAACCGGGAGTGTGGCTAAGAACACCCCTACCCATCAAGACAAAGACCGGAAACCCGACCCCCCCCCCCCCCACTCAAAAATCCGTGGCGACGCCCCTGGCTGGACGGCTTTATCAGCTGCCAGTCTGACAACTGGGGTATTCTGGTCGCATCGAATTTGAGTGCAGCTACCAAATGCCGATTTTGTGGCACTTTTCTGCATCAGTTTGCTTGTTTCGTTTCATCCTCAAAGCACACGATGAGTGTAAAATGGAGAGATGAGTGGTCTTTGAAAGACTCGCAACGAAACCACAGTAATTTATACCACATTTTAAAATGACACAGAAATGACACGATCAAACAATACATGAAAACAAAATAATTTGTTGGCCACCCGGATGCGAGAGAATAGCAATTCTTTAACGACATATTTTAAGACATCTTGATGTTCGGCATTGAAAACGGTGATTGAAAACTGGCCATTGCCGGTATATTTATATCACCTAGGCCGGTATGCCGGTATATTTTGATTATCCATTTGTATCACAGTAGGCGGAACTATGGTCAAGCGTACCCATTTTCGGGAACGCATTTTCGTTCCCATGTTTGGGAACGATAAACCCAAATATGGGAACGCCATGTAGGCATTATTTAAAACAAGAAAAAGAACCGTGAAATGACGTCCAAAAAATATAAAACTATCGTGAACCGCCTGATATTTGTCTCAATATTGTTGGGAAAGAGTTTGATATTGTAAGGCCCATCGTAGTTTCAAATCGTTCCCCTATTTCTAAAGCAGTCCATCATCCGGGCCGCGAGCCCAAATTTGGGAACGCTCTCGTACTCTGGCGCTGCAAGCGTTCCTTATTATGGGAACGGCGTACCCAAAATTGGGAACGATTTCACCGACGCCTTTCAGGGGCTCTTTTCATTAACAAGCATCACGTCCAACGCCGCAAATTATTGTTAACGCAACAATCATCAGATGACCCTTCCGGCAAGACCGTCGCATGTTTCGCCCGGTCTTCTGCGCTTTTATTCCCGTCGATCTCGCAGCGGGCACGCCCCCCTCTGCAGGATTACGTAATTCACAACGCTCAGCGATGTTCAACAAGGTCTTCCATGCCTATATCCACCGTCCGCGCCGAGGGTGGAGACATGTCAAGCACCTGTCTGTTTATCACCGATAGTTGACGAGCACAAGAAAGTATCCAAAAATGGGAACGCTGAATATGTTACACCCTCAAAACACCTAGTCCCAATGAAAATCTAGTTTTTTTCCTTTCTTAATGAGTGTAAGTGGCAAAAGGCCTGGTAGGATGGGCACGAGGAATGATCGAAATCAGCATAAAAATTATGAATAAGCCACACAGAGCGACCTATATAAGAGAAATTCCCCCAAAACGATCATGCTTAGAAACACGGAAGACAAAAACCACGCTCATGACGCTCCTTATGAAACAACGCTTCAACAGCTAGCATCCAAATAAAATATGTCTTTCCGGGCTGATAAAATACAGCTGAATAATTTTAAACCACTGAAACTGAGTTTACAACAGTAGTTCGGTAAAATCACGCACGTTCTACGCGGTCGTCCGCCTCGACACCAAATGTCAACAATATTACCTCGGGACTGTCCGCGTGTTCGCTTGCATATGTCAGCATCTGGTGTCGCTAGTATGAAACTTCATAACCAGGCGAAAATTATTATACTTGACCTCAAAATGTAAAAACGCTTCATTTTCCTTAAAATTGCATGTTAAATGTAGTATAACCCATGTTTTCACCATTCCGTCATTTCAAAAAATCATTAAAAATATAATTCGACGGTCAATTTCCTTGTTCAACGGTCAGATTAAAGATAATTTTATAGAGACTTAGTAGATACGTAAATTAGCGTGCACTTTTTTGAGACGTGATGCACTAATGAGTTTTAGTGGGCGAACGGCCGAAAAATTACCTTCCGTTCTCATAAATGGGAACGCCCGTTCCCAAATTTGGGAACTCCGTTCCCAAAAATGGGAACGTTCCTATATTTGGGTACTCATGACCATAGTTCCACCTACTGATCAAGCCTTTGAACATGTCCCAATCCGGAAACAAGAAACAACATCCTCCTGAGGGGTTATCATAATTAGGTGTAAAGTACGGGTCTAAAATGTACCAAAAGTCATACTACAACCTTTCCTCTTGATTATTGAACGCATTTGTCCTCTTCCTTTCCTCCGCTTCCTTCCTTCCTCCCTTCCAGCATCCAGTGCCCACTACCCCCCCCCCCCCCCCCTACATCGTCGGGTGGGTGGTGAGTTGGCAGCACACAGACGTGACATTTGGCAGCCCCGTCGGCACCGACGACAGTCGGCTCCACCCCCGCCCGGGGAAAATGGAGGCGGCGGCGGGATCAATCGGAACCGCCGCCCGGCGACGGGCCGACGGGCCGACGGGTCGACAACGGGAGCAAGACCGACGAGGAGAGAGGGTGGGGACGCCTGGAGGAGGATCTGGGTGGATGTGTATTGAGAGTGGGGTTGAAAACGCATGAGGGTAGGATAATTCGGTATAAGTGTTTGTATGAGTCTGGTTTGGAAGCGACTGTGACAGTCTGGTTGGAGACGTCTGTAGGTAGGCGGAGAGTCTGGTAAGAGGGGCCTGTAGAAAGTGTGGGTAGAGGTGCCTACGCAGAGCTACTTCGAGGTATCAAGACAGTGACAGAAGGCGTCTACTGTCTGTCGTCTATGTGGTGTCTGGTTGGAAATGCCTGGAGGTAGAAGAGTTTTATTAGTTGTGTCTAGAGGACATTCCGGATGGAGATGTTTGTGGGAGAATCCCTGCAGGAAGTAAGAGGATGAGCGAAATGAACTTCATTGTAGTCAAAATTGATGTGAAAATGATCAATAACATGCCAAAAATTGTATTGGTTCTTTAGTTTACCAAAGAGAAACAAAAGAGACAAACTTTCGACAACACTGTCATCATCAGGTCTGAGTTTTTGAAATTCCTTTACACACTTCACAACATGTAGCGTGCGAATATAGCGTGCGAATATGTTTTTGTATGTTGTGAAGTGTGTAAAGGAATTTCAAAAACTCAGACCTGATGATGACAGTGTTGTCGAAAGCTTGTCTCTTTTGTTTCTCTTTGGTAAACTAAAGAACCAATACAATTTTTGGCATGTTGTTGATCATTTTCACATCAATTTTGACTATAAAGTCTTCACTCATGCCAACCATCCAAACGATTAAAACTTTCCCAGAAGTGATCGCACTCAAGAGATGGTAATATTTGTTCGACACAACGAAAAACTAGCAAAAACATTAGCTCGCATCGACTTCCTCCTAGACTGTCGTAAGCTAGATATCATGCCAAACTTCATTGTGATCTGGATCTCGACATCTACCTACATACAAACGGAGGAATGTTTTCCATCATTGTAGCGTGCGAATATGTTTTTGTATGTTGTGAAGTGTGTAAATGAATTGCAAAAACTCAGACCTGATGATGACAGTGTTGTCGAAAGCTTGTCTCTTTTGTTTCTCTTTGGTAAACTAAAGAACCAATACAATTTTTGGCATGTTATTGATCATTTTCACATCAATTTTGACTATAATGTCTTCACTCATGCCAACCATCCAAACGATTAGAAATGAACTTCAGGCGCGTTGGATATTCACGGATTCATAACGATCCCTATGTTAGGCATCAAATAATCTTATTCGACTGATAATGGCACTGGAACCAGACTATACCGAAAAAGCTCTGATTTCAATCACCTGAGGCAAGAATAGAGTCACAGAGCAATGCACTTTGTGCTTTCGCACCCGACTTGCCTATGCGATTTGCATGCCGGCGCTTGAACCATGCGATATTCCTCGTAAGTGCACGATGTGCGATTCGATTTTGTTTCGAAGTAACAAAAAAAAAGCTCGCTTTGAATAACCTCAGATAGTTCTGTTTCCACGTTTCAGGCGTTTAAAACTATTCTGCTATGAGGGCGGGCTTGCAACGTGACTCAACGGACATTTCAGTTCAGTGGCCGGCCGATTTGATCATATTTTTAAGATGCTGACTCGGTCGGATAGACGAAACAGTGCAACGGGGCGAGGGTTAAGAGCAATTCTGGGGGTAAGAACCTGAGGGCGTTTAGTAGAAAAGTTGGCATTGAATGTTTATTGTTTTGGCGCATCGCTATCGAGGATAAATGTTGATAAATATGTGACTTATTGCTGTAGGTAGGAGGCATGATCTAAATGTTTACTTAGTGTATTGCCGTTTTTTATTCTTCCTGTTGTTCTTCCTGTTGTAATAAATCGCATCACTAATTCTATGATAAGAATACATGGGATGCAATCAATTTACTGAGCAGTCTACACAAACTTTTGATGAAATTGAATTTATTCGAATCAAACGCACAATTCCATTCCAGTCTTCTTACCTGACCAGCCTCGTCTTCATCTTGCTCGCCTCCCTCACCTGGTCAGCTTCACCTTCCACTGGTAGGCGCCGTGGACCAGCTGGGCCATGTAGAGGAGCATCGCGTCGTTGGTGGGAAACTCCCGTCGTGGAAATACCATTCCCGGGTTGGAGTTGATGGGGAGTGCCAGCGGCACCTTCAGATACATCGAGTGCAGCCAGTACTGGAACGCCTGTGGAATGTCAACGGGGAGTGAATGAGCGAGTGAGTGAGTGAGTGAGTGAGTGAGTGAGTGAGTGAGTGAGTGAGTGAGTGAGTGAGTGAGTGAGTGAGTGAGTGAGTGGGTTAATGAGTAAGTTCGGGATTTTGCAAGCCACATTCAGGTACTCAGTGAGCTCATACTCATAGACACATGGATTACAAAAAAATTAAGGTCTTTGAATATATTTTAGATAACCCCTTCCTATTTTACAAAGAAACTGCCACAGATCACCACGACAAACACGTCGATGAATGCAGATCACATCCCGGAAAGCCTTGCGCATCATCCTATCACACATCCAAACACAATAACCAGCGAACAAAATCCACGCGTCGACAGAAGAGTTTCCCTTTCCAAATTGGCTTCCAACTCAATCACTTTCTTCGCCGCCGCGCTACGCCAAATCATCTCTCCGCGAAATTAACTTTCAATTGGATCGTCTTTTCCGCGCGTCTGCATCCCCCTTGGCACGCCCCGGTTCGGTGTGCTTAATCAATTACATCGACATCGACAAAGCCGGAGCGGCGGAAAGTTTACTAACGAGCGCCACAAAGCGGACGGACAGACTCGCCGACCGATTGTCAGGTATGGGACGTGCGCTGACTGCGGTGGGTAGACGCGCTGGGGCGAAGATGCGACGCTCGGGGTTGTTCTGGGCGCCCGCGGGTGTCTCGAGCGCTACCGAGCGCCCGGGGCACCGGGAGGGGGGAGGGGGATGGTGACTGAAGGAGGGGAGTGCGCAGCCAGCTAGTTGGGTAAATCATCGGGATTATGCGGCTGGGTGGCTGTCCAAACAGGCTCCAATGCCAGGCACGTGCCCCGAGGGCGGGACCGATGGGAAGGGAGGAGAGGGGAGCGGTCGAGGAAAAACGTCGGAAGGTAGTCAGGTGCGTAAAAATGGCGGTGTGATGCATGCTTTCTAGCTTTACGAACTGAGTCGAAAAAAAAACATTTCGGCAAGTATTTCAAAGAAAAAAACATCATCTAGTTAAATATAAGCTAGTTAAACCAAAGAGTTTCAGGATTAACGGGATGGCGAATGGAAAGAGATCTACCGCAGGGGTATCTGATGTGATTTGATTGTTTTGTGTGCCATGTGGCCGCGGAATGCATGCGAGCCAATGATCAAAATTTAAACACGATAGGCATCTCACTCAAAATCTGTTCCAATTTTTCATCGTCAATAATTGTCTTCTGATTTCATGTGAAGGCAGAAGCTCATTTCATCAAAAAATCCCACTTTGTATAAATGTGTTTGAGACGTAAATCATTGAATATTCGTACGTTACGTACAAACACAAACTTTGCATACATGCAAGCATTTCAGGAATTCAGTGGGGTAAAATATTTTTGATCTAAGCGAAACACACTGTTGTTTCATAAAGTTACAGGACAGGTCTTCTCTCAGTAAACTTGCATTGTATCTTGTTAGTAAACTTCTCAGCATCGCTTCATATTGCAATATGTTTCTAGTGCAAACTTATTTCAGTTCTTAAAACAAAACGGAGCTCTCGTAATCCGGGTCGTTTCGGAGACGTCTAGTTTTCAATAACATAGACCCGGGAACAGGGGGGGGGGCAGCGGGGGCGCTTGCCCCCCCCCAACTTGGGAGCCGAGGGGGCGGCGCCCCCTCAACATTGAGACTGCGAGAAAGGATCTTTCCTCCCTTTTCCGGACTTCTTTCCTTCTTGTTTCCTTTATACATCTAAATATCAACACACGGCATTTTCCTTGCCATCTGAATGGTTTCTGCTGATTGGTAGTGTATCGATTTGACAACACCTGCTATTGTCATCCCGCTTTGGTTTGGGCCTGACCTTGGTCATAAGTTTGGCAGGCCATATTTTATAATGGGCCATTTTTGGTCAACTTTGAGAAATACATAGCGTACATACAACGGTGGTAAAATCGTTGATATAGGTATATCGCAGTTTACCCGGTCCGGGTGTGAGGGAGGGGTGTGGGGCAATGAGTGCACTGACGTGGCGCCCTCGGAGGGCCGGTATGGGATTAAAGCTCAGTGACACTAAGGGCTTGTGTGGTGCCTTCAGTTATCGGTAGCACATTCAGAATAGCCGGCGCAGGGCCCTCAGAGCCGCCGGTAAGGGGCCTTTAGAGTTTAGAGGCACTGGTGTGGGGCCGTCATGCAGGTGCCGGTGTGGGCACTCAGAGGTGCTAGTGTGATTCTCTCAGAGGCGCCGGCGAGGGTCCTTACAGGCGTTGCTGTAGGCCCTCAACTCATAGACGCTGGTGTGAAGCCGTTACAGACGGGTGTGGGGCCTTTAGAGCTGCTGACGCGAACTCTCTACAAGCCGGCAGGGGGTCTCAGTGACCGGCAAGGGGCCCTTAGGCCGACAGAAGAAGTCCTGTGGGGTCAGTACCATGCCGGTAGAGACCGGCATGGTACTGTCAGACACCGGTGGGGCCCTCAGAGGGACCGGTGTGGGGCCCTCAAAAGTCACCAGTGGATGGCCTTTAGATGCGCTGGTGTTGGTTGGGTTCTCGGAGCCGCCGATATAGGGCTTTTAGGCACTGGTGTAGGCACTCAGAGTTGGGGGGGGGGGGTGAAACCCTCAGCGACACCGATGTGGCTGTGGGCCCTCATAGGCGCCAATGAGGGTCCCACAGTTGCCGTTATGGAGCCCTCAGAAAAATAAGTGCGGGACCATCACAGGCGGGAAATGCCCCTAGAAGTGGCCCCTCATAGGTCGGTAAGAACTCTCAAGAGGCCAGAAACGGGCCTTTGGAGACCACCGAGGGGCCCTTAAAAGCCATAAGAGGCCCTCAGAAGCCGGCGTGGGGCACTTATGGAGATCTTGGTGTGGCTATTTGGGGCCATGAGGTGCTCTAACGAGCCCCATGGGGCCCTTCTAAGTCGAAATATGGCAATCGTTAGCCCTCAGTGGTCTAATGGCGCCGCAGGGCCCCTCGGACCCGAGGATCCCTTTGAACCCGATGGGGGGGGGGGGGGTACGTGACCCCTTAGACCCCTAGCCACGCCATTGTTTCATATGCATCATGTCAGGTATTTTAGGCTCGCCCCCCCCCCCAACTTGAAAATCGTTCCCGGGCCCCTGTTCAATAACATCATTACCTTCCAATTCTGCTGTGTTCATGCAAGTTACACAAACCTTCCAGAAGACGTTTCATAACCGATGTTACTTCCTTGGTCATTAACGGGATTTTCAAAACTCCATGCATTCTTTTATGAGGAGAATAGTGGGGTTCCATTGCATTGAACTTGCATTGAACCCGAAATATTGCCACAAACTCACCCAGTTATTGTCATTTTCTTGTTTTCTGAGGAGACCTTTCTGCAGTATCGGACCCGGGCCATCGTCTGCCGCAAATTTGGCGACGATCTGCTCCAGTTCTGCGTTCATTTCTGGTGTTAGTAGCGGTTCCAGCGTCATTTTGTACCGCTGCATTGTGTGCGCCAAGTCAGGAACGGGGAACTTCGGAAGCTCGAGAGTCTGTCGGAAGAACAGTCAAGGTTAGGTACGCACCTCGTCTTTTAGAGCAAGTCGGCTAACTTTAAGGTAGTAAAACGGAGGTGGAAATTCAAAGCTTGTGTAGGTTTCGAGCGTACCCTGATATTTCAGAATTCGGAAGCTGCCCAGTTTTCAGAAAAGTTTTTAAAGCATCCAAGCTTGGGAATATGATTCGAACGCTGATCATAACTTGATTAACTTTGATTAACTTGATTGTTATGACTGATTGTTAAGCTTGATTGTTGATCACCATGTTTGAAATGAAGCACACATTCACAGGACCACATTGGGTGCCTAAATGAGGGAAGAAAAACTGGAAAATGACAGATGGAAAGTTGAAGATACACAATCGTCCTAATCGCCTAACCAAAACTGATCACATTCTCTCAGTAAATATAGACACATACCTGCTCGAGTTTGGGCTCCAGGTTTTCCATGGCGGCGACCCGACTGCCTGGGCTGCTGTGGAAACCTGAGAGTGAAAACAATGCGAGTTAAACATTAATAGGAAGCTGTTTGCATGCTCAGATTTGTGTGGTTATACGATAGTGAACGATATAGTGTACGATAGTTTACCTACTTCATATTCATCGGTTGTGTAGGGATTATACGGTGCTTGATAGCCTATACCTGTGCTCTTGCGCCCACCCAAAAGCTCCAACACACACGGGATTGTGGGGGGGGGGGAGCATTGTGTATGGAGTAGCGTTTTCAAGTCAGTGTTAACGTTCCTGCTTCAACTAATGCATGGAAATGCATCAATTGCTAATTGTTGTTCATTTATTGCCAGATAGTGTACAGCGTACACATTGCATACTATGCAGTATGCACATTGCACAGCTCCACCAAATGGGCCCTTTCACCCGTGCGCAGCCCTGTCGGGTGGGTTCAGGGATCCGTGTCCAACTCTATCGGGCGGGTTCAGGGACCCGTGCACATCTCTATCGGGCGGGTGGTCGCCGTCCGTGCACAGCTCTATCAATCAGGAGGTCTCGGCCGTTGGGCCCTGCGGCAATCAGACCCGGTGCCGCGAGCCAGCGCCGGGGGGAGCGCGGGCCGGCAGTGATCTGTATTCATTAGCGGTGTCTCGGAGCTGGACAGCGACCGGTGGTCGGCGTCATCGGGACAGCGGACAGTGGACGTCATCGGGACAGCACTGGACGTCATCGGGACGGGGAACGTAACGTCATCGGGACAGCGGACAGTGGACGTCATCGGGAACGGCTGCTGGGCGTCATCGAGACGGGGAGCGGAACGTTGACTGCAAGATTGACTGTTGCCTACTGGAAGGAATGCGGGACCGTCTGTTCTGAATCTGAAGATCTGTTGAATTCGATTGAAGAAGGCCGAAGGTATAACCCCTCGACAACTATTGAACTTTTTTTTTTGTAGCCGGTCGTTGAGAAGTGTGTTTTATCGGCGACTTACTTTTGCCTCGGCTCTTTTACACAGTATCTAAGCGTAGCTGGTGACGAGACTGACGTACGCATTATGTAAACTTGCTTTTGCTTATCCTATTGATGTTGATGTTGATGATGTTGCTAATCCTACAATTGTGTTCAATAGCCAATCGCTTTCTTCTATTAAAAAAAAAAATTACCAGAAAAAATCACAGATAGGTATATGATAAATTTCAGAATGCCCCCAGCATAATCAAACCAAAGCTTAGCAATAAACATGGAATGAAATGTTTGGGTGTTTTGAAGAGTTTCCATGTCGAAATAAAAGATACACGGTCAGCATTCTTCAGTTCTTTTAAAACGCAGATAAACACAGATTCAGATATCTTAGCGTAATAGTTATTCTTGAACATAAACGCGAAGACTGCCCATGGGCTGATGGCTACGTTAACTACGTTCTCCAAGTTAATTTAGGAAAATTATGTTACAATATAAAAACAAACCACCTTGGAAACAATATACTTTGCACATTGCACGGTGCGAGTGTCAGTTACAGCACGAATAATACGTTCAGATTTCAAATATATTAGGTATCTATCCAACGTCGCGTCCCTTCATGTCGCGTTTTGGAACCCGTGTTGCTAGCGGGATAGAGTAGCAGAGGTAATGGAGGAGAAGGAGAGAGGGGATAGAAGGAGAATGGAGAGAGAGAGAGAGAGGGAGAGAGAGAGCGAGAGAGAGAGAGAGAGAGAGAGAGAGAGAAAGGAGAGGAGAGGAGAGGAGAGAGAGAGAGAGAGAGAGAGAGAGAGAGAGAGAGAGGAGAGGAGAGGAGAGGAGAGGAGAGGAGAGGAGAGGAGAGGAGAGGGAGGGAGAGAGACAGAGACAGAGAGACAGAGAGACAGAGAGAGAGAGAGAGGGAGAGAGAGAGACAGAGACAGAGAGAGAGAGAGAGAGAGAGAGAGAGAGAGAGAGAGAGAGAGAGAGAGAGAGGAGAGAGAGAGAGAGAGAGAGAGAGAGAGAGAGAGAGAGAGAGAGAGAGAGAGAGAGAGACAGAGACAGAGACAGAGACAGAGACAGAGACAGAGAGACAGAGACAGAGACAGAGACAGAGACAGAGAGAGACAGAGAGAGAGAGAGGGAGAGAGAGAGAGAGAGAGAGAGAGAGAGAGAGAGAGAGAGAGAGAGAGAGAGAGAGAGAGAGAGAGAGAGGAGGTAGGGAGGCACGTGTCGTTACCGCATCGCCGTGTGCTGGATAAGGGAGGGAGGGGGAGAGCGTGTCTCTGGCGGTGTCCGGTGTCGATGGTGGAAGTAATTAGGTGTCACCGACGACACGAACGACGACGCCGCTAACGCGGACCACGCTGCTGCTGCTGCCCACTGCTGCTGGCACGAACACCATCGCCGCCGCTGCTGTTGCCAATGTCGCCGCTGCTGCTGTGAACGCCGCTGCCTTCATCGCCGTCTCCACCGCTCCTATAGATAAATGCCGTCACTGCGACTTTGGTTACCGCCGCCCACACCACTGCCGCCTCTTTGTCTGCAGCTAAGAACGGGGTGCGATAGACTAGAGCTATAGAGCTAGAGCAATAGACTGTGGTGTCAAATCAGGTGCGATATGCATTATGAACTATATGTAAATTGGGTAAGATGCAAGTAAGATCAGGCTAGTTCTGAACAGACTTATGGAGTTCGGCTATTTTAATGTATTAGTGGTGCTTGGTGATGAATGGTTTGCTGCGTACCTTGTCATGCGCTATTAATCGAGTGGAACACCTCGTTATTGAAGCAGTTTTTTAATTTGAAATATTAATGGCAATGCACTGTCTTTCATATTTGCGTCCTCTGAAGCGAGCGCCAGCGAGTTTTGCATACGAAAACAAACTCGGTGATCATTCAAGTTAAACATCACGCTTTAATCTGTGATGTCGGATATTATACAAAAAAGGCTACAAAAAACGTTATCTAGTTAATGTAAACCCTAAATCTATCATAAACGTGAATGTAGCGCAAGGGAAGCGGCATGCGTATTAACCCTCGCCCCGTTGGGGGGGGGGGCCATTTTGGCCCCCCCTGTGGTTTTTCCTGAATAGCAAGAAAACGGCGGCGCGCAGCGCCGCCAAATTTTCAGTACCTTCCCGGGCATCAATTTGACACCTTCACACCAAATTTCAAGTCTTAGGTCACCTTAGGTCAGGAGTTATTGAGGTCAAACTGAGGTCATGTTCGAGCAAAAATGAGCAAAAAACATGCAATCTTGAAACGCTCACCAAATCTACAGTTATCAAGCAATTTCAAAGTTCTTTATATGGTCTAGTAGACAAAAAGCGGCGCTACAAAACTGCTATCTCGGATTTTCAAAATTTTGGGTTTTTGACAAAAAAAAATCAAAAAATGGATTTTTTAAAGAAAAAAATAAAAAAAAATCCGAATTTCGAAAAAACCGGAATATATGTGATAGTCGCTGTGCTCTTCTATATACATACCAAATTTCAGATCGATATCTCGTTTTTTGGCCAAGTTAGAGCGAAAAAACTGTTCAAAAATGATGACGTCAAATTTTTGAACTCAATTTTTAGCGATTCTAGACCACGTACGGCAAAACAAAGACCACCATTGAACTCCCCGTGACGAGCCGCATCGGTTCGATACCCATTTTAAGCAAAAATATCAACTTTGAAATTTGACCTAATTTGACCTGACCTTGACCTGACCTTGACCTGATCTTGACCTGACCTTGACCAAAACTTGACCTAAGCTGGCCCCAAAGGCTGCCTGACCCACATAATCGCATTTGTCATGTAAAATGGACCATAAAACATGTATCACACGACACTTTCATATTGTGACCCCCCAGTGACCTGACCTCTGTGACCTGACCTGGTACCAGTGACCTCAAATAGCAAAATATGTGTTTGAAGAACATTTCCCCATCGATGATTTTCAATGAAATGCATTTTACTCGATTTTACAACGCATTTCTTGAAATGCCTGTAAACGGTGAAAATTGGATATTTGACCTGACCTGTGACGTCATCGGTTTGACCTAGGTCAATAAAATTGGGTCACAAGGTAGTTCCCTGATAGGGCTATCCAACACCGTTTGCCGCTTGTTGCTAGGTTGCGTGGTTCTCGAGATCTTAGGGGGGGGGGGCCAAAATGCTCCCCCCCCCAACGGGGCGCGTTGCTCGGCAGAGCCCAACGGGGCGCGGGTTAAGTAGGTGTGTAAAACCACATGTATTTCAGATAGCAGCAGCATAGTCCAGTTACTTGATCTGAGTAATGATCTACCGTCGACCGAAGATCCCACTTCCTTTCCGTCCCGTTCTGTCCCGTACATTCCCTTTCCATCCTCTATATCCCCCGCCCCGACAAGGCCGACATTCACCCCTCGGGCATACTTTGTACCGCATTGTTCTAACCGCATGTTCCACCTGGCGCCATGGGGCACTTGCTATCGATTCGGTTCGATTCAGTTCGATTTGGTCCATCGGTAGTCCTGATGGCTTGTCGAACCATCACGCTGGCTGTTTTCGCCAATGGCTTACAATTGGAAACGGATCACACCAGTGTCAGCCCAGAACGATAAATGCGACAATTTTCGCCGGGAGTTTGGTAGCATTGCTGCGCATTTGTTCTGCAAAATGTTTGGTAATTTGAGCCGTGTTGTTGGAACATGAATCTTTTAAGTTGTCTAGATGAGACAGGTTGAGTTGTTTGGCAGTGGAAACATTTGTCATTAGAGTGATGTTATAGGCGACTCTCATGGCTGGCCGAACCTGTGCATCTTCGCTTTTGAAAACAGACAAACCAAACTGGATACATACTTACATAATTGTATATTTCCACTCGGCCTAGGAAACCATCAGAGTTGTCAGCGTGTCTTGCAATGCAGCTCCGTTTGAAGAGTGTTTGCATCTTTTGGCTATGTCATTAGCACGTTGATTAGAGTGAGTGACGCCTCCGGGAGAGGGTTGTCAGTTTGGCGGAAATTGATGGGAAAACTTTTCGTTCCGGCACGGCTCGGCTACTTGTAAATTGACTCTGATGGTAATGAGCCTCCGCCGGTGGTGGGAAGTGAGTTTTGGCTGGTTTCCACCTGTGAAACCCCACAGCGATGGTTTGCATGAACTACTGAGAAAGATTCAGCTGAAGGTTTTGGCACATTTTAGCTGAAGAGTCTGGCAGGTAGCTGGAGGTTTTATTTTCAGAGCTACTGGCTTGTTTACCGCTAAGAGGAATATGTAGAAATATGATATTGATGGCCTATCACATGTCACAAATAAAAGATACACACCTTCTCCCATTTTCTGCTATATGAGCACATTTACATTATAAAGCCATCATTGCAGACTAGAAGTGAGCTACGATCACTGAAACCAACCTAGCTCCATATCAGGTACTTCCAATCGCATATTCGAGGTTCTGCATGACATTCAATATTCATGCACGTTCCGACCGTTTTCAGCAATTTCGACCATTCCAGGCGATGACCAGCTCCGCTCGCGTTGTGAACCTTCGGCACACCTTACACCAAAAACAGACCTACTATCCCCAGACTTCCTCCATTTAACCACTTTCTAATTCCGTCCTTACTCGCAAGGCTAGCCTATTTAGCCACCGGACAAGTTTAGCACGTCTGTCGCAGTCAGCTCGTCTCTAATTCTGGGTCTCACCACGCTGACCCGAAACGGACCCGGTCACTAGTCCATCGACTCCGCTGCCGTCGGCGCCGACGATGACCCTGTCGACGTCGACGATTCGGTGTCGGTTTCGACGATACCGTCCGCTGCGGGGTGTGGTATTGACGTCTGGCCACTACCTGGTGGTATTGATTCGGGACCGACGTTGGGCCGCGGCCGGTGGGGGAGGGGGTGGGTGCGGTGGGGAGGGTCGAAGGTGGCACTAGGTCTCGGTCGAAGGAGGGGTGAGGGTGGGGAAGGTGAAGGGGTGGAGGGGGGAATGCAGGTGTGGTAGGTGCTGGACTAGAGTTGTGGCGTGGAGTCAGCAGAGTGAGTCGAATTAGGGATAGGTTTCGGTGAAAGAGAGTATGGCCTTTAGGTTTTACAGAGTTCAGGGTGTGATTGGAAGGGTTGAGATCGGACACCACTGACCCGTTAACCTCTAGCACTATTACCACACGAGCAAGCAAGTATGCTAGAGCCGTTACGTAGATCCGGTAAGACGGGCTCGGTAGCCAATTATACGGACGGCTCTCGCAGGTTTAAGCGGTAGGTTTTGCCTTTTTACATTTCCGGCTATATCTAAAAAACTAATCGATATACGATGAAGCCATTTTAGAGGATCATGACAGGCATGTGCATGAATAAATCGATCGCATCGTCAACCCTTAAAAGCTTAAGACGAAGAAGATATAGCCGCAAATTTACTAACTTTCATAGGGGCAAATCCGACCGCTACAACCCGCGAGATATGTGCATAGTTAGGCGGTCAGTCGGGGTGTGATCTAACGGAGTGAGTTTGAACACCACTGGCCCGCTCACGGACAGTATCGGTATGGCGCAAGGAGGCATCGGAGAGTTGCCCTTCCTCTCAATTGCACACGCTCTAATGCGACTACCTCGCGAGGAAGTAATTCCTCGTCTCAAAAACTGTTATCCAGCGTGCCAATGGATTTCAGCGGGCAGCTGCGGTCGAGGAATGGACAAAACAAAATGGTCGTGAGACTGCGCTGTCTGCATGGTGGGTAAATGGTGGGTGCGTGCGTGTGTGTCGCTTAGTTGGTGGCCTAGTTCGCTAATGGTGTGGAACACGCTAAAACCTTCTATGACTTGTTCGAAGGTTTACTGTAGACGTGATCGATGATGCTGAATCAGTTTTAACTCGAAGATTTAGCTGGGAAGTTGATTCCAAATGTTCAGCCGAACATGCGTGGTTTGTTGTTCTGATAAAAGTTTACGACAATGCTCAACTCCCTGTACACATTCAGCATCTACCTACTTGGCAACAACGGGTTGAATTTTCATGTACATACATACATATGTGTGGCACAGATATCAATGCAGAGCTATAGCTCCTGTTCTTTACCTGCTTTGTAGTGAACTTCAACATGCACTTAACCGCTATGCGTTTAATGAATAAGTCAAATGAAATACGAGATTTGCAACGGAGTGTGTGCATTCTGCATATTTTAACATTTAAATTCAGCTTTGCAATCGTTAGGTGTACGTTGCGCAAAGTTATACAGATGCGAAGTAACATTGCGTAATTGTGGCATTATGCATTGCACAGTAGATCAGTGGGCACCTCCCGTGAATACTTTTTTTTATAAATTTAGTCCGAATGGCTGAATGGGCGGATTTGAGGAATCAGAGCCCGCACTAAGCATAGCTTGTTGTGCTGACCCTGACCCCACCACCCGATCGCGCAATTCCAGTTGTATGGCAGAATTTTTGTCCGAACGTTTAACGTGCCCTGACGTCTGGACACGGTCCCCTTCGCTCACTCACGTTACCTGGCTTCTGTGCGGCCCCTGCCACAGACACGCACGCCATTACACGTAGGAGCTAAATGTGACCGCCCGCACCGGGGCTTGAACCGGGCTCTCACTTCCTGAACCGGGCTCTCACTTCCTGCGGAGAACGTTGTTAACCCGCGCACCGACGGGGGGCGGATATCCGCCCCCCCTGAGGTTTTTCGCGAATAGCGGGAAAACCGCGGCGCGTAGCGCCGCCAAATTTCGTATGACTATTCCCTCATCAATTTTACACATGGTGTGCAAGTTTGAACCTCCTACCTTTCAAGGTCAGGTCACCAGGTCACTTTGAATGACCCAACCTCAAGTCACTTTTTTGCAACTTTGTCACCGTGCCAGAGCTACAGTAGATGTCGGAGGCATTTGAAAGTCGCAGGATGTTATTAGGTCATTAGTAGCTACAATTTGTATATCTCGGAATTTTGATATCGGTGACCTAAGGTCAGGTCAATTTCGCGACCTCCCCATTATAAGTCAATGGGGGAAAAATCAACTCCCTGTTTTTACCACTAAAACGGGTCGGAATGGCCCCATATACCATACATGACTTCATATACGATCAACCTTCACTACCTTGAGGTCTGTTTTGCTGTTGGGCAGCTGTGAGGTCATGTGACGTCATCAAAGGTCACCAAAGGTTTTTGGCCAATAACTCCGTACAGGAACAAGATACAGACGCGTGGATGGTCTCATTGTGTTCAGCTCGTCCAGACGCATCGAATGATATACATGATGACCTCGAGGTCACGTGACCTGAGGTCAACCTTTGACCTTGACCTTTTGAGGTCAACATATATATCATTCGATGCGGATTGACGAGAGGATCACGATGATGCCCTTAGTTTGTTCCTATCTTGACTAATTCGAAAGTTATTCGAGAAAAACTCTCTCCATATCTAGCGCCGCCATTTTGACTTTTTCGACCCCTGTGACGTCACCTTTGACCTGACCTGAAAATGACCTTAGTAAAAATTGTAGATCTTGACCGTGCGTATCCGATGCCGTTTACCGCTTGTCGCTATCGTTTACCGCTTGTCGCTATCTTGCTTCGTTCTCGAGATCTCAGGGGGGGCGGTCATCCGCCCCCCCCCCCGTCGGTACGAAGTCGGTGCGCGGGTTAATGCTATGATAACATGGTTTACCTAAAATGTTATCTAAAAATGTGTATTGGTCAATTTGCAACTACACCATACTCTAAGCTGATTTTACATTATCATCACCTCTAGGAAAGACGGTCCTCTATTCAGTGCCCTGCACGTGCAATAAATAGGGTTCAGCCTGATGTAGATGAATGACTTAGATACACCTTCACCACCCTCCTACATCATTTTTCTGTCATCTTCCGTCATTTTTAATGACACACAGACGCAGTTTCCATTAAGACACTGTATTTACTACTCAACAAACACGATAGGTACCACAAAACTCAACCGAAATCACAGAACATCTCCGCCCTCACTGAAAACAATAACGCACAAATACCTCATTCAATCTGACACGCACCTTCTAAACTACTAGCATGAGACAAAAACATGACTCAGTCATTCACGCTTCTAAAACCGGCTCTTCAAACACTTGCGCTAGTTCCTGAACCAATCGAAAAGCCGAGCGATTACATAGCCACAGTGTGCGATAATTACTCTGAATCCGATGTTCAGAGACATGCGAGTACCGCGTAACATCACTATAAAATGCCGTAATTACAGAACAAGCAGTCATTCTCCCCATTTTCGCTCTCTTATTTTCTGTCTTTCTCTCTATCTCTCTTTCTCTATTTTCTCATATTTTCTCTCTCCTCCTGGCTCTCCGGCTCGATAATTATTTCACTCCATTTATATCACTCCGTAATCACACCACATTTTTTACACCTTCGCTCAAACACACAATCTACTACAGCTTCTATCTCACACAAGCACAGATAAATACATCGAAACCGATGTACAATCACGTGACAATACAGCACAGACAACCGCACCTTTTGGGATTTGTGCGAACCGCGCGTGCAGTGAATCTACAACGAGCAGCAAACAGTGATGTGACAAACAAAATTTGTCGGCTGCGTGTATGCAATTGGTCGCATTATGTTTGCCTCCAAACGAACACCCAAATTTGTTTACGCCTTGTGTGGTACACTATTGTAAAAGGGATATGTCAAATGATATGCATCTTAAGTCGACAGCTTGCCTTTACAAATTACAGCTAGGCTGCACACTATGATATTAATATATTGCACATTGTTACAAATTATGTATTGCACAGAGATGAGTAAAACATAAAAGTTTCTAATTTTAGAACCGTTGGGAAGTGACTAGGTGGCTCTGTTCATATTGTGCAAATAAACTAGCATTGACAATGAACCAATATTACACATCCTGACACGACGCATATGAGCACGCATGGCAATATCACCTATTTACAGTTACATTGATATGTATCATTCTTGATATGTATGTGGGACTGAATACCGTTCATATTTGACGCAAATTCGTCACGTAATTTGAAAAATGACTCAAGTGGGTTTGTCACGTGTTCCATTTTTGTTTCCCACTTCTAAAAGCATCGATCGTGTTTTCATCTTGAAACCATCCCTCGAATTTGCACCCAATGTGAACAGGTAAGTCGCCACACTGTTTCACATTGACTCATGTAAGACGTTTACAAACGCACATAATTGACACTGTATCACTAACACATAGATCTTTCGAACCGTAGCGAATAACATTGTCGATATGTACAACACTTGACGCAGATTTACACAATGAATACAACAACACTAGCCCATAATACGCGGCGGAGAAAGCCTATATCTTATCTTCGTCAATCATTCAGCATGCATTATAGTTTCTCAACTCGCGCTGTTAGTGTAGATTATGTACTAGCTTGGTCCTATGCCTGTGCAGCTGTTGTGACTAGTGCAAACATATAATCTATATTTTTTAAAGGTTTTCATTAGTAAGAAACTTTGCTAGGTATTTTCATGAACTGTCGGAAAGTTTTCATCTAGAAGCTTCGACCAAAAGAAATAAAGAAGTAAGGATGACAAGAGTTGAACGGTATTCAGATTAGATAAATATAAAAACCATTACAATTTGGACACTTTTCTTCGATATTATAATTTTAAATTACCTAATTGTGCACTGTGCAATGCATCACCACACAACTAAAAATGCCCCTTGCCGTCGTCTTATTCACTAAAAGCTTAACTCATCTCCAATAAACACTTGTTATATATATTCAATGCTGAAACGAATGACTAGCACGCATCCATACACTCACTCATATCTACAAAACCTGTGACGGTTTAGCAAGAGTATGATGTCACGTGGAAATGACGACATATGGCGTGATATCACACATCACCATTGTTGACGCGCCACTGAAACAGAATCGATTCCATTACCACTTATTGCTCGTTGAATCTTCAAAATGCCCGTGCTGACGGTATCTATTCGGCTAGATACCCGGTCGATATCTGACCGCACCTATCTGACCAGATACTCTAGCGATGCTCTGTGCAATCATCTCATTCTGAGCGTCAAAGGGGGGTTACTTATGGTGAGGTTAATGTCCTCTGGCGTTTGTCCCTGATTTTATTCAAGAGCTCACACGAAATTGGAAGGGGTGTGGGAATTGTTGCACGTTATTTTTGGTATCATTTGGTGGTGGGATGAGGCTTGGCATGGATTAGCATTTTGGATTAGGTGTGTGACATTAAATATGAGGCGTTCCTTTTGTTTAAGAGCGAGCACTTTTCATCGTAAACATTTTTAAGCGGAAGAAATTAAGCTGAAAGTTGCTGATCATAGTTAGATGCTCCTCGATTTTTGCCGACGAATGCTATCATCATCTATAAAAAGGCATCATTTTTGTCATGTTTCAAATCAAACCGCTAACTGTAATGAAAAAGCTATGGAAAATTGTCTGCCCAAACATTCTCCATATATAATTGTTACCTGTAATTTAAAAGCTCGCCAACCACTGTCTCATGCGCGCCAATGATTTCCCCGCGCGTCACTGATTTCATCACAGTCGCTTCACGCGTGCCAATTCCTGCTCGCGCGTCCGGACCGTCACCGTCTGATGAGAACTGACGGTCTGAGTGGCGGCGGCCACCTGGGACGTTCCCCTGTTTCGGCACCGCCGACACACAGGGGACGATGATCGATGGTGAGAGCGGAACAGACGCCGACGCCGTACCAACAATGGGACGCGTCGCCGTCGACGATGGAAGAGGGCAGAAAGGGTGACCTAGAACTGAGGGAAGGGGAGGGGGAATGCAGGAAATGATGCGTCCTCTGTAGGTAGTGTCATCGGGCAGGTTGTGATAAGAGATCCAATAAGTGATGTTGGACTGCGAGTTAAATGGAAATTTTCAACTGATAAGAAGGTAAATTTAGTTCACGTGTAACTTTGGATTTTCCGAACGATGACAGATAGTTACAAAACGTGATGGTCTAAGTCTGTATAGTTGATGCTGATTATTAGTTGCTTCGGAACTGTCGAAAATTGTGTGTTTTTACACGAGATAGTCAGTTTGCTGGTTAGCTAATTTGACCTACCACTTCACCAAGTAGGTAGGGTTTGTTTGGGATTAGCTTGGCGGGGTGATCGATAAATCAATAAAAGACCAGAGGTAATCAAGTCCCTATCCTTAGAGCTCGAAGTTAGAGATCATTAAAAGAAAACATTTCTAACGACTTTGATCCGGCTGACTACAAAAAAATGAAATAAACAAAAAGCACCATCTCCCAATTACTAACTCGGCGCACAGTTTGCCGCTCCCCGACTTTTGTTAGCTCTCTGGTCGGCGCACGGGCCGCCAGTCGCCCGGTCCGAGTGTTCTCGTTAGCATCGTTAGCGTCTGTGCGCACGTGCCATACCCCTCGTGTACCTCCAATAAAGGCGAGTCCAATTATAGCGGGTCTCGTTAGGCCAGCAAACACCCAATTACGCCGTTTGGCTTAACCGAGCCCCTCCGAGTTGTGCTGAGCACTGCCAAGAGCAGGTAGAGAGGCCGCCAGATTGGTACGGGATTGTTTGCTGAGGACTTTGGCGCGAGGGAGCGGGCCCGCGGGGCGGCTTGGTTTTGGTTGCCAGGGTGACCACACGCGCGGACGGTTATTGGCTTTGATCGCTGGGGCGTTGGGTATCGCGGTTACCTCGTTTGTATGCAGAGGCTGCTGTATGCGGTGTGTGTGTTGTCGCTTCAAGTTACCGGCGCGGAAATACGGCTTACGGAGTCCATCGGCCGGACATCGCACGAACGAACTTCACAGACGATCAACAATGGAATAGCTGCGACGTTTTAGCACAAAACATCGCAGCATTAACGAGATCGACGCCTCACAACAGTTACACACTCGCACATAAACTTCCAAGTTCTCTCAATCTTACCTAGCAGCCACTTACACTCACTCTCACGCATTCACCAGAGTTTGATAGTTTCTAGTTCACCGGGTCACCACTAGGTGGGAGGCGCTCCTCCACGGAACGGATTCGCGTCTCCTGCTCGGAACGGGTTGGAGGCGGGAGGCCGGAAGGGGTTGGCATTGGAGTTGCCGATCGACTCCTGCCTGGGCGCAGGCGGCCGCGCCGGAGGCTGTGGCGCGTGCCCGTTGGCCGGCACCTGCTGTTGGTGGATATACTGTTGTTGAGGTTGCTGGTACTGCTGTGGTTGCTGGTACTGTTGTGGCTGCTGGTATTGCGGCGGTTGCTGATACTGAGGTTGTTGATACTGCTGCTGGTGCTGTGCGTAACTGCCGTTCTGTCCGAAGCCGGCCTGATACTGTCCATCCAGCTGTGTTTCTTCCATCGCATACTTGTCTCCCTGGATGCTATTGTCATCCTCCAGGGCCGAGTAGGATTTGTATTCCGTCGGGTGGTCGGCCATGTTGATCTGTTCGGTTTCTCCCTGACGCTGCATCTGCTGCTTGTTCCAGTAGCACAGGATGTAGAGAAGCGGAGCGTAGATGACGTTCGACACCGCGATGCCGATGTTGAGACCCGTGAAGCCGACAGAGTTGACCAAGTTGCCGGCGATGATGGGGCCGAAGGCGTACGCCATGCTATAGGAGATGTCGGCGATGGCGTAGATACTGCCGTAAACGCTGACGTGACGTGTGTCGACAAGAAGACCCAGCATCGGGAGCAGGGCCGTGTCAATCAACGCTATTCCGAAGCAGATGGTCGAGATGGGCAGCATCATCACCCAGTAGTTGGTGGCAAACGGGATGAACAGACAGCTGACACCTTCCAGCGCGAGACCGCCAGCGGCCATCGCCCACTGGTACTGCGGGTACATCGCTGCCATCTTCACCGTCAACACGACACCGGCGACGTGAGGGAAGAACGCCGGCAGCCAGATCATCCCCAGCTGCCACTCTTGGACGTCGTCCATGTGGTCCATCATCCAGACACTGATGGTGGGCTCCAGGAAAGCTAGCGATACGTTCGACATCATCAGTGCTCCGGCGCAAAGAGCGATGTACGGATCAGCGAACAGACGCCAGATCGGCGTGCCTTGGGGCATGGTGTAGCCGGCGGCGACTTGCTGTTTCTTGATGGGTCTCATCACGAGGCGTAACATGATCGCGTCAGCGAATGAGACGAGGGCTAGAAGAAGGAACGGAAGTTCTTTGCCACAGAACTCGTACAGCAGGCCTCCGAACGGTGGTGCGACCAGACATCCGAAGCTGATGAACGCCAGGGCGATGCCCAGCGCTCTTGTACGCTCAGACTCTTCCGTGTATCGATCGGCGATCATGGCGAGACCAGAGGTGTCTGCAAACGCCGAGCCGACTCCTTGCAGACTTCTGGCGAAGAACAGGACGCCGTAGCTGCGCCCGCAGGCAAACAGCGCCGTACTGAAGAACATGATGAGCAGACCGATGGTCATCGGGACGTCGTAACCGATGCGATCGATGATAGCACCCGAGAAGGGATTCACCATTAGCTGAATGATGGCCTTGGAAGCAAACAGGAATCCTATCGCGGCGTCCTCGTTCTCATACACCGTGACACCGTTGATGATCTTGCTGACCGTCTTCACGGAGTAGTTTCCCGTGCTGTTGGCTTGCCAGACGTTGGCGTAGATTTTCTGACCGCCCTCAATGTGTGTGTCCCAGATACCGATTCGGCGTAGGTAGTCTGGTATGATGGGAACGATGACCATGTACAACATGTTGTCCAACAGGAGCGCGATGCTGACGATAACCAGCACCAGCTTCCTCTGCGCATGACCATCCTGAAGACGGACATCGATCTGGTCCAGCTTGGCGTTACACCAGTGGACGATTTCGGCGGCGTCAATGCCGACAACTGGAATTCTCGGCATGGTGACGGCGCTGCTGAAGCTCTTCAGTCAGCACAAACACGGACGCTTCTTGTGGCGTGCCTACGCCCGAGAGATGCGGGACTGCGGGGCTGTTCCGGGTCGCGGAGATAGCACGGAGCGATTCAGGAAGATACCGCACGTTTCCTAGTGGGCAGAGCGTCGTACCCACCTCCCGACGAGCTCTCAAGAGACTCGAGACGTGCCCAAGAGCCCTACAGAGCGCGGCTTGTCGGCCGCCGGTTTTAAATCAATACGACGTGCTTCAGAGGTGCTCGACCTCCGGTCTTTGAGGGCTCTTGAGCTCGGATGACGTCACTGAGACAGCAGTAGAAGATGTTTCCGCGATGCGACAAATGTTGTTGGAGATTTGCTAGCGGAGTTGTGTGCAGTGTGGTGGTTGTTTGTTGGGTTCCGTTTTTCTAAGATGATGACTCGGATAGCGTTGATAACCGCTGCCCTTTTTGAAGATGTCGCCGTGACTGGTCGTGACTTTCTTGTCCTTTCTGGTGATCCTCCGTGGCTGTGTCGCCCGCCAGGGTGCCGTCGAGGTCCGTCCCAGTGACCTGCTATTCTCCGAGGTTCTCCGCGGGGTCGGGGTGGGTCACCGAGGTCAGGAGTCGCTGAGCAGCATGACCGGTGAGCGCTGGCGTGTGTCGAGTGAGCCGCACGTGCGTCTGCCGTCGGTATCTGGCGACAGAGAAGGGGGAGGAGGTGGTGACTAGGGGGCCAGGTACGCACCGACGGAGGCGCCGGGCGTCACTCGACACACGCCAGCGTCGATATCGTCGCGCCGCGTCATGAATGACACACCGCGCCGGTTTTGACGACGATGCGTCATGAACCGCTATACGACGCACCGGACGACGCGGTACCAAGCGTCTAGAGCGACGACAAAGCGATGTTAGCGATGACACAGTGCATCTTTGATGATGAAAGGGAATCGTAGGTTTTATCGTTTTTTTTTTTTGATTGATTTGCTTAGATTTTTTTCTTCTTCGTTATTTGAGTACGCGAATATCATGTTGTATTTTGTGTGACATTCCAGGCATTGATTGGAGTGGCGGTGGGAAAGTCGGTGCAAAGACTTAGCTATGATTTGCTGTAGATAGTTTTAGATACTTGAAGATAATTGAAGGTAATCGTCTTGGCACAGAGTTGGCGCTGTTATCAGCTTTGCGGATATAGTGAGGACAGGAAAGCTTATGGTTTAGAAATTTGAAGTAAATTGAAGTGTTCCTCACCTCATCATTGACAATGCTACGGAAACGTCTAATGCTTTGTGCTTGTTTCCTTGTTGCCGTGCCGGTTAAGGTCTCTAGATTATCATCCGTTGCTGTTCATTTTGTTGACATCTTAAATTGCCCTTTGCCTTTTCAGCCCTAGGTACTGGTCTAAGATGTTTGTCGATCACATAGGTTCAAGGATCCCGATTCTATCGCGTACACGTGTAGGCCAATTATTTATGCACCCTTGTAATGATCCAAGGTAATGATCGATGACCAAATGTTGCTATTGACTCTTTGCGTTGTCATAGCAACAGGGGGAAACTAGGTTACTGAAAACCATGCGTCCTAGCTCGACCCTCGGCCTCGCTATTGAAACAGGATTCGTTGCCTTTTGACGTCATATGAAGAAGAGACAATCGCGCGGCTGATCTCAGTCCAGTGTGGCCCGTTCCGCTAAAGTACCGGCCGTGCTACAGTCAATGCATACAGAGGGGGTTCTCATTGGGCGTAGTTTGTATCCGAGTGGGCGAAAACAAACGTCATTGGTGGCCGTCTGTATTCATGAACATGATCCGCAGTTGTATGAGCTAGCGAACACGGTCAGTGTTACTAGGCACAACAGAGAGTGGTGCGATCAGTGCAAGGAGTGTATAGCAATTCTTTTGCGAGTGATTTATTACGCTGATATTTCATGGCTTGTTCTTATTTCCTACATATAATAACTCAAAAAATGTCTACCTAAAGTAGCTAACTCGTACCAGCATTATTCAGCCTTCTCAAGTCCCGCGGACGGCACATAACTAAGACGAAGATCCCTTGGCTGATTAACAACCACCATATTAGTTCAGTCTAATCGAGCTATCCTAATCTCTTATCTCTCTAATTCTCGTCAAGTCCCTACCCTAACACATGTGCGGTTTTCCGCAACATTACACGCTCTACTCCAGCCATTTACCACTCGATCTGGCCCGGGGAATTCTCACGTTCCCCTCCCCTTCCCTCCCCTCCCAGCCCCGATAGCCTCATCACACGGCAGCGTGGGTTATCACCATTCATCAGCGACTCGCTGGTCCGGCCTTATGCTCGTTTGTCACTGCACCCCTCTGCTCGATTTGTCGCAGACGCCAAAAGGAATCGCTAAACGTCCGCGCCGCGAAATTGCCACGTCTTCTCGCGGGAAATGGCCGGGGGTGCTTCCGATGGGGAAGTGGTCAGGCGCTGTGTGTGGGGAGGAAAATATGCCAGGATGTGGCGAGTGTTTGATGGAGGGGAGGTGGTTGTGGGGAAGTGGTCCCATAGGATATGTGAATGGTACTTATGGGGTTGTTATACAAAAAGGTGATAAGCATTGCAGGAAGAAAAACAAGTTGCTGATATTGTGAGAGCTGGCTACTCTTTTAGGTGAAGCGTTGGCCACAAGTTTTGTTGCGAAATATGTTAGTGATATTTGTTAGCGTAGTCTTACTTTGGAATTATTATTTAATATATGAAATAACGCGCTGCGTGTCCATTTACATTATTCTGTAACATCACGTCCCTCAGATGTGTCCAAAGCTCTCTCCGCACACGCGGTGTGTATAATTCCCCGCACGTTGATCCATCACGTACTCCCTGTCCCCCAGGTTTTCCCGGCGCCGAATGCCCCGGGGGCGGTCACCCGACACGGCGTCTCACTGGCTTTGTTTGATGTCTCTCTCTCTCTGCCCTCCAACACGGCAGACCCAGCACTCTGCCCGTGCTGTGCTGGCAGAGAGGTCCTCCGGCCGGCGAGGAAACCCGAGATGGCGGGATCTAATGGGGGCGGTGTGCTTTGGAAGCTGTGTCAAAGATGTTTGGGGGCTGTGGGAATATTGTGGAAATATAGACCAGACATTGTGGGAATATTTGGCTACCAGTGCCACGTAACTGAGTCAAGATGATGGTTTGTGCTTTGAAAAAGTAACACCATCCATTTATGCTATTGTTTTTATGTTCATAAATTACTGGGTGGGGATTTGAGTTCAATCAAAATCGGATGATTTTTTTTTGGATAGCATGTATGTAATATCAATTTTGTGCAACTGTGTTTATGGTCGAACTATTTCTATTTTTGTTTGGTTTTATTTTTCTCCTTCTTCTGTTTTCCCCATTTATTTTAATCAGTTTCGTGCTTTCTCATGCTTGTCCCCTCTCCTGTCCCGCTGTACATACCTTTCAAACCAATACGCTCCTTCCCTTTCCTCCTTCTCCATCCATCCCCCTCTCCTCCCCTGTCCGCCTGTACCTTTCCCCGGTGTGTCCGTTCCCTCGCCCTCCTCGTGCTACTCTGTCTATCGATCGGGTCGTTAATGAGTGGCCGCCGCGAGGCCAGCGCCTGGCACCTGGCCGACACGACCCTGGAAAACCATCCAGAGACCCACAGAGGCCCACAAAGAGGCCCATAGAGACCCAGAGAGATAGACCTAACAGAGGCTCATAGAGGCACAGAGGCTCACTGAGAGCCTAAAAGGCGTTACCCATGCGTACAGACACGCAAACAAAATATGCTATCAGAATGACACGTCCATGTGACAGCTCCGTAGTTTCCACGGCCCACGGGGAGGTGCTATCGAGGAAGAAGGGCAGAAGCCAAAGAATGATGATAAGCGTTGGATAAATTCGATGATACTGCTATTCCTGCAAATGTAGAGCATGCGCACTGAATATATTAATTATGGATGGGAAGCATAACACGACTGCTATATTTATAGTATAAAATGACATCAAAAAACAAAGAAAAGTGGGCAGATATTTGATCGCCAAAATGATCGCTAAGCAGACGGATAATAGGTTGAAAAGGCAAAATGCAATATTGAGTTAAGCAAAAACAAGTGGACGGTTGGCCATAACATTGTTGGAAATGAGTGAGGACTGAAATAAAAAGAAAACAATACTTGTATTTGAAATCCGATTTACAATTGCGAACGGAACGGTTTCTGTTTTCGTTCCATTGTGTTCGTCAGAGTTGTGGGCGCTCACTGGGCTACTGAAGCCTCTCCAGTGGCGGACAAGTTGTGGCTCTTGTGTAACAACGGTAAATAGGATTATGCCTCGTCGGAGCAACTAGTGGCGAGTCAGGGTTGGTACAAACAGTTGTGATTATTGCAAAACCGAAATAACGGTGGGACTTGGGATCGCAAGCAGTGCGTTATCCCTAAACTGATCATTGATAATCTCATTCGAGAGTGGGTAAGCCAAAATTTTAATCCTCAATACGGCCATGGAACGTCACTAGGAACGTCGCTTAACCCGCGCCCCGTAGGGCTATCGGCGGACCCTACCATCCGTAGGTGGGGGACCGTTTCGCCCCCCCCCCTAAAATCAGGGCGGGTAAAAATGGTTTTGGTGGCTCTGACCAAATTTTCTTAGATGAAAAGTGGCTCCTCACAGAATGAGTTGGAAACAGCAGCGAAGACGTTCTCTTTGGCATCAGTTTAAACATCAGTTTTTTTAAGCCCACTGTTATAAGTCTCATTGTGGCAGTGTTCGCCACGGGCCGCAAAATCCCAGCCCAGCCCAGCCCAGGCCCATGGGTTCACAGCCCGGCCCAGCCCGAGCCCATTCATGGTAAAAGTGTCAAAGCCCAGCCCGGCCCAGCCCGTCAAAAATGAATGGATTTAAAAACTATTGACTACACATAGGTATCCAAATGTAGCAAAAAACAACATTTTGCGAGCAGCATGCACAATGGACATTGCATGCGTGCTTTATTAACTCGTTTTTGAGTCTTGCACACTGCACAGTAATAAGCTATGTATAACCTATGTAACCCCTGACTCCACTTTACATTTTTTGGCCCAGCCCATCCACAGCCCATCGATCCTTCATATTTTAGGGCCCAGCCCAGCCCGTAGCCCAGCCCAGCCCATGGCCCATTGGGCTGGCCCGGCCCATGGCGAACACTGCATTGTGGGACATTAGCTCGCCTCAAAAACACAAAATGGATGTAGATGACTTCCTAATTTTGTCTTAGGTGGCTGATGACAGTCAGAAAGGTAGGGTATATAAATTATAATTTTAACTTACCAATAGAGGAAATGTTATCATCTCCCTCACTAGCAAACGGTCAGTCATATTCTTCATCATCTGATATATCTCTGCCGATGTTGTATCGAGCTCGGAACTCAAGCACCAAAGGCATTATAAGTCTAACATTAACTTCTGTCACAAAATTTCTGAAAAGATTTGATGGCTTACATAGATAGGCTATCTTATTTTCAAATTTGAGCCTGACACTAAAAAAACACAGAAGCATTCAATAATTAAGCAAAGATTCAGTAACTAATGCAATAAATATACTAGCCCGCGCCGGGCCGGTGCTCTCAGATTCCGCGTCGGGCCGGGGGGGGGGGGGGTGTGTCTGAACACCCCCCTTCTAACTCGGCTCCTGGGCCACGTAGTGACACGCGGTAAGCGGCAGTCGAAAGAACGTCCAAAATAAGGACGAAAACACTTCGGTCATTTTTTGGGTCAGGTCAAAGGTCAGGTCACCAGAGGTCACCAAAGGTCAAATGTCCACTATTTCAACATTTTGGAAACTGCCAACGGCTATCTCGGGAACCAATAGAGCTACAGCGCTGCGGAAAAGCGCATTCGATAGCCCTTTTACAGACCTTTCTGAATAATGTCCTCAGATTTGACCTCAGGTCAACGCTCTAGCCTCCAGGGGGCTAAAACTAAAAAAATAGCCGTTTTTACGAAAAACGTTTTTTCGGCAATAACTTTTGACTCAAAAGAGTCATGACATTACTTTTGCCATCATCGTGTTCCTCTCGTCGAGACGCGTCGAATGAACTATACTTTGACCTTGAAAGGTCAACTTGAAAATTTGACCTCAGGTCAAGGTCATGACCTGACCGGAAAAGGTCATGTTGCATATCAGTCGATCCGCAACGTCGAGCCAAACACATCTAAGGCGTTTTCAGCGCTCTAGCACGTCTCTATCAGAAGTTATTAGCGAAAAACTGTTAGATTCTGTTCGTGACCTGAGATGACCTCGGGGACATAACGAGGGGTCAAAGTGGCCATTTTCCGGTTCAGTGTGTCCATTTTACCTACATCTCGATGTTTGAGAGTGTCTAGAATAACGTTCGTGCAAAACAGACGCTTTTCAATTTTCTTCCATTGACTTATAATGGAGAGGTCGCAAAATTGACCTGACCTTAGGTCACCGATATCAAAATTCCGAGATATACATTTTATAGATATTGTTGCTCTAATCAATCGCTGAAAG